TACACTTTGTGGGTGCAAAGTGCATACCAAAGGATGGGATGACTTTAGTCAGCTCATCCAAAAATACTTGCGCCTTCTCCTCTTCGAACATGAGAACGATGTCGTATGCATATTCCAGATCGACAAGGCTTTCTTCACAGGCTATTTGAACACTAGGGTTCTGGAGACCCTCCGGCGTTCGCCTCATTATTTCATCGATCACGAAGTTAAAAAGGAATGGATAGGATGGACATTCCTGACGGACACCACTTTGTGTACAGAAGCTTTTGAAGAGCTCCCCGCACACCCTCACACGTCCGGAAGTCTGAGAATACAAAGAACGTATTATGTTTACAAATTTCCGGGGCATTCCTTGGTGGGTGAGCGTCTCAAGAAGAACAGACTGATCAACAGAGTGGAATGCGCCTCGGAAATCCAAGAATACTAGAATTGTTGGTCACTTATACGTATGGCGTTATTCTAGCATTTGACGAAGTGTGAAGATTTGGTCAACGCAACACCTACCAGGCCAGAATTCCGCTTGCTGCTCTCGAGTCAGTATCTTACGAGCGACCGTAAGGCAACGAAGCAAAATTGACGCCAACAGTCTCGTTACAACCGGGGTCAAGCTGATCCCCCTGTGATTACCACACTCACTACGCGCCCCTTTTTTGAAAANCTTTGTGGGTGCAAAGTGCATACCAAAGGATGGGATGACTTTAGTCAGCTCATCCAAAAATACTTGCGCCTTCTCCTCTTCGAACATGAGAACGATGTCGTATGCATATTCCAGATCGACAAGGCTTTCTTCACAGGCTATTTGAACACTAGGGTTCTGGAGACCCTCCGGCGTTCGCCTCATTATTTCATCAATCACAAAGTTAAAAAGGAATGGATAGGATGGACATTCCTGACGGACACCACTTTGTGTACAGAAGCTTTTGAAGAGCTCCCCGCACACCCTCACACGTCCGGAAGTCTGAGAATACAAAGAACGTATTATGTTTACAAATTTCCGGGGCATTCCTTGGTGGGTGAGCTCTTCCATTTCTTTGGCTTTCAGTGTCCACCATACTTCACGGTCGGGCGTATAAAGCCATGAAGGAGGTGGTGGGGTAGAACATGCTGGAACTACCCCGTCACCATTCAAAATTCTGATGCGGAGCTTCCTTCAGTACATTGGTGGATCGTGAGTTCGGTAGTCACTCAAGTAGTCAGGATTTGACACTTCCACTTCATGTACGCCTCAATAGCAAGAGTGCGAATCTAAGTATCAAAGAACGATCGACTTCTGATACTTCTTCAAGAGGCCAATTCGTCGTCTTATGTAGCGCGGTCACCCGGTCCGTTGGGCGTTGAATTTAATGTTTTATGATCACATTGTCCGGATTAATCGTTATATACAATTCTTCATTGTGCACTAGGATTCGTTCCTTCGCGACGGAGGTTAAACACAACTTACTCCACTTACCAGTAGTTGAAACTATTTGCCGTGGGGAAAGTCATCGGTCCCACATGCTAGTTCCTCTTAATTTTTTTTATTATTAGCAATTGTGGAAACTAGCCTAAAGGCTGTCCAAAGAAGTTTGGGAATACGTGTATTTGGATGTGACTAAGGATATAAGCAAGCTAAATAGGACTTATCTGACACAAATCAATTGTCCGGTGTGAGTTGATCGGTCTGTGGAAACCAAAGGAACCAAAGGAGTTTGGGACAGATCGTAAAATGGGTCAGGGAAAGATGTACAGGCCATAAAATATGTAAACTTCAGTGAATAATTTTGCTCAAACTTGTGCAATCGTTCAGAAGCCCCCAGGAACGATGAAGTAACGAAACACAATATACCCACAAATACTTCGATTGTGTACAATATAAGCGCATGTAACCGCAAATGACGTAACGTTTTAGTTTGGTTAAGTCTGGTCACATGACCCAGATAGTCACACTATTCTCATGTGAATCTCTGATGAATAGTTTAACCGTTTATAATTGATTTTTAGCTTGATTGGTCCCTGTACATTTTGTCGCTTGATTTTGGCTTCCCGGCACACCATAAGCCAGACGAAAAATCCAAGGTGTTACCTTCGCTCAAACCGAATCGTTCCCGGAATTAGCTCAACGAGCAAATGACCATAGATCAGATTCGACTGGAGTTCAAACACTGCTAATTTAGCGACAATAAAGCAGAGAACAATTTTAGGGATATGTGCAATGGGGCGGACAGAGCTGGACTACTCAGTCTGACAACTATTATTGTAGGCTCCCAAAAGAAGATTGTCGATGTAGATCCGACCGAAAATTCAAAGGTCGAAAACTTATCCTGGATGAGTTGGCTTGAGTGAAGTTTCACCGCCAAACGTTCAAGGGTGGCATTTTTGGATTTGAAATGATGTTTCCCATAAAATCATTGCACATAACCCAGTCAGCTTGAGCTCAGGTTGGAAAGTTGTACTACAATCCGATCAAGATATTTCAAAAAGTAGCTCCACCATAAATTGTCACCCCTTGTATTATGTTGTTATGATGCTCTCTAAAAAGGAGACAACCTTCCAGGAAAGGCGAATACCCAAGTATAGATGTGTGTTGCCTTGTACTTACACGTACACCTGAATGCATTCTTTTTTTTGTTATAGCCGGCAGCCTTCGTTGGATTGTTTCTCAGTCCAGCTTTTTGGTTCACTCTCATCCTGACTGTAGTCCTGGCCAATATGCCTGGTCTAATATGGCGCATCCTGTCGGACGCGTGGTGGACTGTTCAGATTGAGCTGAGTAAAATATCGAGCAAGCGGATGCGTCATAAGTTACTGAGAAGCTTCAGGGTTTGGCTCAGTGCGATTATCTGGGGCGATCGTGATTTGACGACCTCGGACATCAAGGAGGACGAGTGAGGCAAGCGCTCCACATGGATCAGATAGCGCCACTGCAGTTTATTCTTTCCTAACATGACGGAACTATTCAATATTCCTGCAGTCATGTAAAACATGCATACGACTACTGTGATACATGTGTGTATGTGTCTATTTATCGGCGAACTGTACGTCAAGAGCAAGATTTGTATTCCTCAGTTATTTTTATTCGCTGATTAAACGGTAGGTTCTTTCTTGTGCGGCTGATTTCCGGACAGTGAAACACTTATTCGGGTCAATCAGCTTTGTGACAAATGCCGCTTCCCGTAAACACATCACAGACTTCGGATTTCAAGAGCGATATTCTTCCATATGCCACAAACTTCTCTCATAATCGGCATAAAAATCTGGTGTATGAGCTGTTCACCACCGAGCTGAAGTACTCCTCACTGGCGTGACGTTCTATCCAGGAGTATGCTGACCCCGACCGATTGTCGCTAATACGAGGAGACCAAGTCAATCGTTTGGTCGAGTATGTAAATATATCAGCATGTTTAGAACCATGTTGTTGGCTCATGGTGAAAAATGTTGCATACCTGTCAGTTTCACATTCCGATCATCAAATGTGGCTTGGTTGAGCTTCGAATCTCAAGTGTCTTCGTGCTTTCGTCCGAAGACTCGAGCAGCCGTCAACTGCACCGTTAAAACGAGGTGTGTGAAAACATTACTTATCTGTATTAGTCGCCTCCGTGAGACATCACATGTGTACGGAAGTAGTAGAAGGGCAATATGACGGCAAACCGTAAGTTCACAGAAAGCTGGATGCGTTCAGGCCCTAATCAAAGCCTTACTATCATCCTTGAAGGAACACTACTCGGCGAGTACTCCAAGAAAGGCGAAACTGGTCGAGGACTGTCGAGTAGGCTTCAGCAACTTTAAGGATAGTCGTTCAAGGAAACATACTGTGATATCTCGAAGCTGAAACATAAGGCAGCCTGATGTAGCCCATTCAGTTGAACAAGAACAGCATAAACGAGTGATTCAGCTTGGTTCCAGTGGAGTCACTCGTCAAAGCCAAATAGGTATGCAGATGAGTGTATAATCCGAATTTTGTGCAGTTTAGGTTCATGTAGAACATAAAGGTTGACGGGAACTCTGTAACTGTGGTCTTGGAGAATGTCCTAAACGAGGTTCAGCTGAGTCTATCCATACAAGCAAAACGGTGTGCAAATCATGGTATTCGCTAGTCTTACTATGTAGTTAGTGTACAGCACGTGCACCCCCACTTTGCCTACCGTATTGACCAAATCCGAATTTATCGACGAGGGAGAAGAGACAAAACTAGCATCCAATTGAGGAAATGGTGAGGACGGAATGCGGTTCACACGATTTTGCTTCTCAAAATCAGTCTACCGCATTGGTGGACCACCCAATCAGTTCCGGAGAGAAGTGGTGCGGCACATTCAGCTGAAAACTATCAGAAACGAAAGATTCATTTGGAGTTTTCGTGAAAATAATCCTGCTTCGTGAATGAATGTTTATTTGCACATGTCTTCAACTCTCTGTTTAAGCAATTAATAAGACTGGCGGAACTTCGGGATGGCTTGATGAGCCCTAGAGTGGATGAAACCGGCGGAACTCCCAGAATATTCATCAACAGCGGCAACGTTCTCATCCCCCGAAACTCCTTTCTGAGCAGTTATGATTTACTCAAGATTCATTTCAAAAGTTGGTCTGTGTCCCCATAAAGGTCCCAAAGTTCAATGGAAATTTTAAGGACCGGTCAGAAGTCGTCACACTAGAGCATACACTTCAACCTTACTACAGATAAGTTTAAGCCAAATGGTCCAGTAACGCAAGTTTCGTTATTTCCAGCTAATTATATCAATGAATTGGGGCGTCAGTAATTTGTTCACTGCGAGTTGCTCGTTCAGTAGGCACTAGTAAGTGTAGACTGTCATGGAGGAGTGTGGCTTGAGAGTAACTGATGATTTCGAACTTACTCGAAAGTTGATTATCGGGTCACAGAAAGCAGATAATACCAAAAAGCCGCATCTGAAGCTTCACGTCAGACAAACGCGTGTTCAGAACGACAAGACCAAACTGGGGACACAAAAGATTTGCACATAATTTTCGTCTCGTGTGTGCAAACATCGAACAATCACAATCGAACATCAGTTCACGTCACAAAATCTCAGCACAGGAACGATCAGAGTCAAGGTGTGCATCCCAACAGAAATGAATGGTGATTATGATGACTCTTCCTCGACATATCAGCTCGCCAAACACCACAGGTTAGCCTGGCTACATTACACACTTCGTACGCCAGAAGACGGTTTGTCTCGTAGAGCCCCTTCACCCAATATCGTATCGGATGTAGATGACCCAGGGGCCGACTTGCCAACCAGGCGTGAAAGCTCTCGCCAGTCAACTCAGTCACATTTGTAAATGTAGTGTTCCCAGATGAGAATTACGGGGATGAGACAGACCCTGATCGGTGACTGTGACGGATATGCCTGTGTAGCCTAGCCAATGGCTTTCTATAGAGGGAAATGTCGGTAGCTCAGGTAGCGTAGATGGTGGTCGTTGGCTTGTTCGCTGAGTTGGGCAATTCGATTGCAAACGTTTCATCACCAATCGAGTTGACATCATCAGTGCGTTATTGTGGAGCGTAATAGAGCGTAGCGGTGGGTTGGTGGTTGTGCAGCGCACTACTACGCTCCCCAATAACGCACTGACGATATCACCTCGATTGATGAAACGTTTGCAATGAAATTGCCCAGCTCAGCGAACAAGCCAACGACCACAGCCAATGGCGAACTCCACTCTCACTTATGACCACAGTAAAAAATGGATCCATTCGACGTCAATGAACGGAATGGACCACTGCCTCCGAAGCATGGTCCTTATTCCCTTATTCTCTTTATTTTCAGTGAACGAAGCTGTAACAGCTGGAATCGCTGCACTTTGTGGCACGGTTTGTGAGCTGAAAAACTGGTGGACTGTGATAACCGACCTGCATAAAGGAGTCGGTGCAGCAAGAAAAACACTGCACCTGTATTTCCGCTAGCTGAAGCTGGAGCACACCTGACCGAGTAATTGTTAGCCTGTTCACCTCCAATAATCAAGCTCGGCAAACATGCCAGCAACTACCGAACCAAGCTTAACGGCCACTTTTGCACGACGCCGCCAAGACTGGGGCACTAACAACTCTGCCACATTCGTTGTTCCTTCAGTAAACTGCTGCGAGCTATCGCTTCCTACGTACGTTTGTCTCTTGCCAGCATTCCTATTGGTGACAACTCACACTATGGCATATTTGGGTAGGTAGTTCGTAGTTGAAAAACCAACCACTGTATTAAAATCAGTTTTATTTTCAGGACACGTACAAATTGGAGACATCTTTGGCTCGGGAAACCGTACATCAAACAAGCCACATTTTCGCAAAACACACTTCACGTCATGGACAGGGTTAGGGATGAACATGAGAAAACCGATAAACTCCAAGCGTCGTCATCGGAGTGGTATATCTCGCAAGGTGATTAAAAAATGATCAAAACAATAATGACCAGAGCGTCAGAACGTGCATGGGCAAGCAGAAGGTTCCTGTCAAGCCATATCACAGCTATTAGGAAAGGAAGGCAACGAGGTGTGAAAGAAAGAAGAAAGGAGAGCGAACACAGAATTGTGCAGACTGGGACAGTCCGCCAATCAATCGATCTTCCAAACTGGAGTTTCATCATTCGGACCCGAACTGGCTTCGATACCCATGCTAGAGATCGGAACGCAGAGAAGGAGGTGGCAAGGATCAGGCACTGTGAGGTTATACTGAGAACACTTTATACAAAATGTGGAAGCGATATGGCCAGATGCTCGGTGGCTTGGTCACTACGATTAGCATCTCCGAATGATGTGCACCATCAGAGATTGTATAAACAGAATCACCGCACAATACATGCCTATAAGGAGGCCGCGGCTTACTGGTTTAACCCGGTCCGACCACAACCACCAGTAACAATTGTTGGAACAACCATGTTGAGCAAACATATCACAGTATCGATGTAATAATTAACTGAACGTAACGGGGAAGTAAAGAGACCCAATGCTGACTTTCCGTGTATGGTTACCTGGATTGAGAAGTTATGGCGCACAGACCCAAAGGTCCGTGTTTCGAACCCAACCCTAGCCTTTCGATTCCTCTTGTCTGGGCTTGGAATAACTGGTAAATCTCAGCCGAATCGAAAAGACGCCACAGGGGGATGATTACATATACCATCAAATGCTCACTTGGGCAGAATGAATAAAAATTAACTTTGAAAAGTCGTGTAATCAAGCTCGCTGTTGCATCTTACCACAAGTGTTCGTGTCGTTGCTCGTGTCTGTTGACCAAATACGAAATAATTTTCCACAGAGGAATAATTGGACGAACCAACATACGTAACACGACCCAGTAACTACAATTCACCTAACCAGACGTATTCTTCCACGGTAGTACTCGCGACCTAGGATTAGCAAAAATCCGGATACGCCACATTCCCTCCGCTTGCACACACCGTCCTGTGGATGTACAAAAAGACCCCCGATACAAATTGATGCAAATGGTATCGCGTTTCGTATGCCGATGGATCGACGTCCTAAACAGCTCTTATCACTTGGTCAAGGGCTGGAAATAGCCCAGAAAAGAACGGGTCATGGCTCGGTCGCCAAGCAGGAAAGTCATAAGAAACAGACTCAGTCGACTTGATAGCTACCATCTCACTGGATGATACCCCCGAGAGACCAGACCGATCAACTGCTAACAACACAGGTACACAGGGCTCAGGCACACATTCAGTGAGACGTATGCAGTAGGAGTGTTGCCTTTTTTGTAGGTTTTCCCACTGATTGTAAAGTTTCCATCAGCGGCAACGGATTCTTGCCTCAATTATACTAGCGAATGACACTGGTGTATACCTGGTTATCTGGTCCAGTTTTTAAAATTGACGGTAAACGACACTGCGATAGCCAGTGACACTAGCCAACAGATGTAGGGTTTGCAGCTGGTGATGATTCTTATGTAGTGTATTACATACGGTGAGGGGCGAATACAAACTGGTAAGGAAACGGAGAAGATAGAAAATTCGCATCTTTGTGGAGAGATTCCAGCCACACGAAACCACAGTGCACTTTTACTCTGTAAAGAGCAAAGAAATTGGGGAGTTCTGTGTTTCAGAATTCATCTTGCACGAGGTTGAAAAGTCAACGATCACTCATAACTCTATGTGGGAACCACCAGCCGTGGCCATCCGAGTGTGAGTTTGAACACCATCATTCAATTCAAGGGTGACCTATACATACGAATGACTTCTAAAGGATATAACTGTACCCATGCTTCAATCACGTTGTTCGTAGCACATGATCTGAGATTGAATGACTTCTTGAATACAAGCTTGCTTCGTTAAATATCTTCCTTCCTGAGTAGATTACGCCCAGAAATACTGTGCGGCTTTCAGCCTAATTAGAAGTCATCAGTAGTGTACATCTGACGAAACTCCAGGGGAATAGGAACCTACAAACTCCTAACCAATGGGGGGAACACCGTTCGGCCATGAGCGGTTGATCAGCACTGATTAGCACTGATTTTGACAGGATATAACGAGTTAATCGCAACACTCATCAGCCGTTCGCGGTTAAACGGTTTCGTGTTCAACATACTGGTTAGGAAATCTCGAGGTCAAAACTTCATGGGGCTTCGTGAGATGCTCACCACTGGTGACTCCTAATAAGAATGAGCATTCAGCTCTAGCACCCTTCCGGTGCCTAGCTGCCATTTCGCTCGAAGGAAACACGAGGGCTGGGATACTGCCAGGTTGCGCAAGCCTAGAGAGGGGAAGTCGAGAGGCGGAGGTCGGATTCGAACCACGGACCTTCCGGTCAGTAAATCCGCGCTCTAACCACTTGAGCCACCTCACCCCAACAGTCACACAGTGTTTTTCGGCCTTCCAGCACAGATTGGATTCACATATAGGACAAAATTTCAGTTGATAAAAATCCCTCAGCTGAAATACGAATGAACACCACAACAAATTTACTCGGTGACGAGTTTGGGCAATTAAGTGGCACTAAAAAACTATACTTACCGCTCCACAATTGTCGCCGGTATCGGACCCTGTGCGTAGTGCAGCGGAGAAAGCTGAAAGCGAAAAACGAAGGGGAAAGAAAAGCAAGTTGTGAAGTAGTACCGGTAGAAGTGAACAAAAGGCCTCGGTCGGCAAGTGATGGTTCATGTGCAACAAAAGTGGAGGCAAAAAAGTACTTATAACTCAGCTCTGCCTGAGCTTAGGGCTAGGATCCACCATCATTCAATTTAGAGCTACTACGAGAAAAACTTGGGAATGATAACAGACGTTCTTAGGAGTCCAAGCGCCAGACTCCAACCTGTTGACTTATAATGCATTGTGCTCCGACAACAGCACCCGTTATCTAATTTTGTCCACTTATTTAAGAGACAAGCTTGTGACAGCAACAAAACACCTTAATCTTGATTAGATGAAAAGGGGTAAGGATGAAAATCGAAACCCAACAAAATATAGACAGCGTGCGGATAGAAAACAGCAGGGTTGGCTGAGGGCCAATACTATCGGCAACGTGCGAAGGTATCAAAAGGCTAAAAAGTAAAGGCGGAAAAGCCAGGTGGAACATGGGCTGGTGTTTACCGCCCGACTGAAGCTAGACTATTATTGAGACAAAATAGGTCGATGGAGAAAAAACAACCGAGAAACGAAAGGACCAAAACTTCTCCCACATACCTCATCGTTTCTGGATTGCACTGATGCCTTGCCATCACCTGCATCGTCGTCGGATTCACCGAGTTGTCGCGAGCGGATTTTGGTTAGTTCAGCTGAAAAAGGAGACGGAAACAGAGGTTGAGTAACCCCATTTTTCAACTTACAACCTCACCAACAAAATGTCAGCTCCGTGATCTGAACTGTAGATTCACCCGAATATACTGGGGCACACTGAACAACTAGGGGTGTCCGGTTGGAAGAAATTACCAAAAAAAACTAGTGACTCACTTCCATCTTGGTCCAGTCGATCCAACAGTACATCTTCATCTTCTTCATCGACTTCCTCGTCAATAGCTATATCCAAAAGCGAGTAGGCATACTGACGGTTGGACCCAGTGGGACGCCAAAGGACCACAATGAAAGTCAGGATCACAACGAAGAGAAACTGCCAAAAGGCATCGTCGATCCATAGGAGGTGCCAGCTCTAAAGTTAGAATACGGTCAGATTGAAAGGACAAAAGAAGTGAGCTGGTGGGGGTCCCATTTTAACGGGAATGTGGAAATTAGGAGAAACAAAGAGAGAGACTAAGCCATTTTTGTCCACACAATATTGTTGCACATGTAGAGGCTCGTCCCAGAGAAAATTTCCGGCAAAAATGCCTCCAGGATGGTTGAGTCATCTTTCCTGCGGTTTTTACTGCTATACACTGTGGTCACAGCCATTGTTGCATGCTTTACCGGCGGATTTAACAGGGCCACCGCCTGGCTACTCGTGAGTAGTTGGGTGTTCAATGGGAAAGATAAGATTCCACCGTCCACTAAGAGATGGTGGGCAATCTCACCAGTAAATTGATTTCGGCGTCATGACGGATGAGGAAAAGATTGCACGTCCTTTTTAACTATAATTAGGTTGAAACGGGTTGATATTCAAAATCTATGTCTGACTGGGAGTCTCTAGACGGTTGATTTGATTTCAGCGGAACTCGCGTGTGCCAAAGCTCGCCAAATTCGGTGCACCGAACTGAACAGAGCTTTCTAGGTGCGTCTAGGAAAAGCTGAATGCAGCTCTTAAACTAGCTAGGACCTCGCATGAACTATACTCGGATCCGCATAAAAGAGAACTGCCTCCTCCTATCGTAGAAATGTTAAAACCTGTTTTCTGGACATTGAACCACTTTTAATTCTCTTAACGTTGTGAACAGAACGTGCGAGAATATGCGCAGTAGTTTAAAGAATGAATGATAATACTAATGTGATAGTCTCACCTCAATGCAGGGATGATATTTGAATATGCCGAGAGACCACACCATGAAAGCGACGGAGACTAGAAAAACGATAGAAAAAAGTATGCATGCAGACGATCGAGAGTATCAGCAACAGCAAAGCCAATGGTTCACTTCCGCACCATGCTAATCCGTTTAATTGTTTGTTTGTTTGTGTTTGTTTGTTTAATTTGTGTAAAAGAAAAATAGAAAAGGTAGGGAATATGGTGCTGGCCTACAACAAACAGACTGAAGCCTCCACATTCGGGTAAAAGCTGAAAACAAGAAAAACACTGGCATTTTCCTGCAACTACATCACGCAGTGTCCACGGTCAGGAGAATTTCAGGATCACAACATCCTGAAAGGCAGATCAAATATATGCATAATCTTATCTACCAACTTATGGGTTAACAACTTCTGGTTCAAGCAACCTTGAATATGACAGGAAAAACTACGTTGATAGATTGACAATAGCGAGTGAAGATGTCCGTGGAAGTCCTGAGAAGAATGGAGGGGGCTTGTTTATTGTGATTGGTCTACTGGTCTGATAAACCAGGAGCAGCGTGCGGACGCTATGTGAAAATGGAAGTTGGGGGTACACAGATCAACGGGTTATGGAGTCAAGTGAGTTACGTCAATGTTAGACAAGTCTTTGGGACCCGATTTTTCGTAGGCAAGCTCAAGTTCAAAGGTCACACAAGCTTCTTTTGGGAAAAAAAGTTGTGGCTCATGCAGGCAGATTCCAAGTGTCTTCATGATCACCTGGATCGTTCCAGAGGTGACCAATATATGACACCGAAGACGTGCTCTTTGTCGACGATATGACTGGCTTCGGCCAAATGTTACGTGGCTGCACTTCAGCCCGGCTTTTTAGGATCACCATTCAGGGACAGGGGTTGTTCTCGTATTCCGTTCGAAAAACGCTTCGCCGTACGACCAAAGTATGGTGCTCGACGTGAGCATACAAATGAGCACACAGAAGCTGGTACTAGGAGCTTAGCAATTTGAGTCACTCAGTGAGTACACCATACGGCCAAGTTCGCAGAGCTGAATGCATCCAATCCAGCCAATCAAATCATACGAAATTTGGGTCTTAGATGGAGCGGGTAGTACGCGCGTATAAGAGCAGTTGAGATGATCGAAGTGATTACCTGAAAACGAGGGTATGGTAGGGACTTAATAGAGAAGCGAAACTTAGGTAGGAACGCGCCGCTACGCCGTTGTGGTTTGGTAAGGCTATCCCGAAGAGCACTGAAAGGTCCGTAACCAACTTGTCCTGCCTGCAGAACCACTGAGACATCGGCTTATCAAACTCTGATGACAGGTGAAGACAAGTGGGAGGGTGAAAAAAAGAATCCAATGATGAACTGGGGGGTTTGCAATCCACTGGAGATTTGACACGAGGATATTGGGCGACGGATGAGTTGTCAAGAGAGAATGTGATTGGCGGACCGAATTGATTAAGGCAAATAGGTGGTCTGTAACCGAACTACAGGTTTGCAGGCACGGGAGGCCGGCAAAATATTTAATTGAAAACTGAGGTGACAAGCCCATTGTATCCACTTCATTGGGTTTATACCATACGGATTAACGTCATGACGGGATTTGTCAAGGTAATAACTTGGATTAAGTCTACCACAGGGATTTCAACACAGAGATGGCTGATCCCGTGAGGAATTCCTCAGTAGAAGAATACGGAAACTCGGGGACTGCGCCCACCTGATGAGCCCCAAGAAGGGCGAAACCGGTCGTGGGCTGTCAAAGAGTTTTCAGCAACCTTGTGAGTAGTTTCCTTTATGAGAATACGAATACCTTGTGACTTGAACCGAGGACTTAAAAATATTTCACGGACAAACTGGCACGACAGTTGTCTCCCATAAAGCGGATTTTCAGCACGGAGATAGCCTTTCCCAGGGAGGACTTTGACACCGAATCCCGATCAGCGGCTGGTGGCCCAACTGTCTGGTGTCCAATCACTAGTCAAGAAGACATGGGATCAGACTACCCCGGAGATGGGCACCACTGAGGATTTCCAATAAGGATGAAACAGCTCTATGGTGCTTCTTGGTTTTCAGGGGAAGATGGACTTGATTTGCAGGGTGAAATTCGGACGCAGTAGCCGATTAACAGGAACAGCCGTGATAGCAAACAAAGCTACAATCGTAGTTACACCAGTAATGACTCAACCGCTACTGTGCCTCGTGTGCACACGATCCTTGATTCGGTGACCTATCGCCGTCACAAACAGACCCCCATCAAACCTCTAGGTCTCATTGCACACGCTGTAACGTGTAGGCATCTCAATCAATAAGAAAAGCGATTGCTTTTCACACTTATATAAAGCGATGGGTATTGCGTTTCGTAAAACACTCGTTTGGCTCGTTCCTTGAAAATGGCTGGCTAGGGTTTGTAGGTGACTCATGCTGGAAACTGATCTACTGACTCAAGGTGAGTCTATTCACACGCACCAGGATTGTTGAAAAAGTCAAAGAACAAAAAAATGAAATCGGCGAGATGAAGATCAGCTGCGAATGCCATATTCTGTGCGTCAGTTCTTACACGGGTGTTCGTGAAGACATCTTTCTTTTGAATTGAAAACAATGCGTATGATCATGTCCCCGTTCGTCAGTAGCTGCAAACATCGTTGATCCCATTACTGGAGATCATACACTCGTAACAACTCTTGTTCAAAAGTCAATCAACACGACGGAAGGAACTGCTTGTTCTGGCCAACGCAAAGTTCAGAATCCCACCAAGAGTTCGAATCGTGAACCCGCCAAAATGTATAGACAAACGAGGTGTTCCCAACAGAGACGGAACTGTAGCGACACGCCAAACACCCTGATGCCCTCCCCTCCCCGGAGACTGCAGTGGTGCTGCGAACATCGTTGATCCCATTACTGGAGATCATACACTCGTAACAACTCTTGTTCAAAAGTCAATCAACACGACGGAAGGAACTGCTTGTTCTGGCCAACGCAAAGTTCAGAATCCCACCAAGAGTTCGAATCGTGAACCCGCCAAAATGTATAGACAAACGAGGTGTTCCCAACAGAGACGGAACTGTAGCGACACGCCAAACACCCTGATGCCCTCCCCTCCCCGGAGACTGCAGTGTGTTTGGTGCTGCGCGCACCAGTCCGATCGTCGATATGAAAGCCGAGCTTACCGAACAGTTCGTGTCCAAACTGTTGCGCTTTGGTCTACTTATCCTGTATTTGGCTGGTCCTTCTGATACTGTTAGGCAGGAATCCACACGGATCCCACTGTACCGCACGTCTTTAGGTGCTGCTACGGCCGATAAGCCTGGCCCGCTCGAGGTTGACCCAGAATTCGGGACGCTTGCCGGTCCGGCATCAAGACGAGATCTGATTGGTCAACAATCTGGACCCAACAGCCAATCATGACCCAGTATTGGCCAAATGCCGGTTGCCAATGGCGCATCCAGAACGCGTCAGAAATTCCAGAAAGTTATAACCGCTTACGCTATATGTACGAAGCGCTGTACAACTGTTCTTGACTTCGTTTTGGGCGTTAATAGACCTTGTGCACCTTTGGTGGTTGTTTTGACGTGAACGCTAGCTTGGGAGGTTCAGACCGAGAACTAAGCTGAGGAAAATACCGTTACTATAGATACGAAATTTCATTTTCCCCGGAAGTTGTTTTTATGTCGTAAGAGTATGAGATGCCTTATTGGCAGAGTAGAAATTCCAGTGGCTGCAACCAGGTATTGTGCAGCGAATGACATAAAATTGGGATAACCTATGGAAATACTCAAGGTAACTGAGGCCAACAAGACGGTTCAAAAATGAAGCACCTCTAACCTAATGGGGTGAACACACAATAAGTCGGTGTATTATGGGATGAAATCCAGAAGGTACAGAACATCACCGCCTTTTCTGATACTGTCCACGGATGAGTATACTACTGTGTTCTACAAACCTGGGGATGTTACACCGTACGCTTGCAGTTATATAACACAAGAACAACACAGGAGCAAACTCACTAATTGATACCGCCAACAGTACGTAACTGAAATCTCGATAAAGTCGATGCTTCACCAGATTACGACGCATCCGTGTCTCGCGTAGAGTTCGCGCCAGATAGATAAAGATCCACCACATAATGCCCGCGTCCAAACATAACAGAGGGAGGAGCGTCGCCAGCCGAAAGTAGCTGGTTGTGAAGCGAGGTTGTGAGAGCCGAGTCATCCCCTCCATCGTCACAAGTACAAAGTAGAGAAGACCGATCGCCAAACAACGTCGAAACCATATAGTACCCAAACGTGGTTTGGTCACGCCATAGCTGGAATACAGTAACAGTGGGAGAGAGCATGCGGTCAAGGCGAACGACAGCGAAAGTTGCCTGAGTTCAGTTTTCTGCGTGCTATGACTACTCAGACCTTGTGGGATTCATTTAGCCAAACATAGGTCTATCCAAACGTTCTTTGTCCAGTGGCTCACGTACAAGTTCACGGCCTTAATGGTTAAATCGTCTCAGTGTTTACCGTAAAAACGTCGGTAGGCAGGACAGCGTAACGTACGTTGATTAGAAGTTAAATAACAGTAAAAACATCCAACGTGCACAAACACTAGTATTTGTTTGTCTTGCCATGGAAAAAAGTGCCTTACAAGTGCTGATTTGCCGAAAGCAAATCAGCAAAGCTAGAATGAGATTAGATCGCACACTTAGATTCTATCATTTATGAGGTGCTAGGTTATGGACCAAAGACAGCTTGGCCATTCATGTGAGCGAACGTGACGCGCCTGAGTACTCCTCCCTTTGGCACTGTATATGTTCGAAACCGTCTGACCAGCAGACAACAATCAGTCAAGCTTTGTGACAGTGTCCTATATTATTTTTATCCCAGTAAGTGACTTCCCGCCGAAAGGGCACCGTTCCTTTACTCTATCGTGCATTCATTATACGTCGTGAGGCAAGGCTCACGGTGTACGGAAACAACAAGACTTTATCGGGCTCCTTACGTTGTACCAACTTCTGGTCTGATTTACCCAAACGAACGGAGTACAAATATCCGCATGTTGCACGAAACAGAACTGCATATGTCTGTTCGTCCAGAATGATTTTACTGGCATTTCGCACCGTCGTGATGAATGAATCGATTTGGCTTGGAACGGAATAAGTGCATGGTACAAACTGTACTGAAGTGATTACCACGAGTAAGCTGCAAAATCGGTTGCTCTAGGGAGAATGGTCATTCTGTGGGGATCGACAATCTTATTTGTGTTCCAATCGTTTGCTCCATCCAAGAGAATAATAAATTATCGTAACTATTCTACCGAACATTGGTTTTAATTAGACAGTTAGCAGAAGATATCCGTTCTGAAGATGACAGCATGTCATACAGACTTTGGACAACTTCCTCATGTTAAACAGTCTTGAGCAACCTTACTTCACGAATGGCTAGTAGTCTCTTAGATGTTAAGGTACTCTGTACAGTTAAGCCAAAGCTGTAGCAATCTTGTGGATTTTCACTTCTTTGGGGGGAAGCACATCGAAGTGGAAGACTAAGGAACCAAACCCGATCAGAATGAATTTGAAACTCCCCCAATCCATCAACTCAAGATTTTGACAATCGCGCTAACCGACAAGGACCGCTAATTGATCTAGTGTGATAATCTGAAGAGGTCTTACTGATTGGCTCTCCGTCTGCCTCAAAACCTGGCCAACTTGGTGACCTGCTCACTTAGCCTGATGAAGCTTTTGTGTCAAAAGCGAAATGTTGCCCAGACAACTACTAATTGTTTACCAAACCCTTCTGAAACGAGATGGGTACTGATTTCTCTGCTCTATTATAAATAAACCGGAACTATCATCATCAAGTCACAGCTCACGTCTAAATTCAGCGTCACATTTACGGCCCATACTCATGTGGTAGTTGTCGGATAGTTCACTGAGCCAGACACGTTAGTTGAAAACGTTTCACCACCGATCGCCAAAGTGATACCATCAATACGTAGCTATATAGCGGGGTGTCACCGGTTGTACACCACTACACAACAACGCACTGGTGGTTTCACCTCGACTGGCGTTGAAGTTTTTGCAACTAGAATTCTTAGAGAATTCAGGAAGCCAGCGACTAGCTATGTGATCTGAGCTGCCAACAGCATACCCACATCGTCGTCATAAAGGCTTGGTGAGGGATAATTAAACGGAGTCACTGCAATGTGTCGAAGACTCGAGACCCATACCATACCCAACATTTTACACAGCCAGGTGGATGTTATAAATTTCTCACGAAATCGTCATTGGAAAAATCTTTGCTATTTTGAAGTAGACATTCAGTGTGAAACCTTGACGTGGTGTGCTCACTGAAAAATTCATTCATAACCTCCAAGCACAAAATGACTTTGAGCCGGCTGCTGACAGCCAATTGGATAACCACAGTCCCAAAGCTGGTCCTGAACGACCTGAGTTGTTATCGATACACACTGACCGAAGTTGCGGGATTCCGTCCACTATATAAATGGCATTGCCAGTGGGTTGACGAGATCATGTGGTAGTCCTGGTCTTTACAGAGGGGGGGGGGTACTACTCAGAAATGTGCACAAATTAGGTCGGCTTCGGACCTGAAAACTCCCACCGAACATGATATTAGTACGGAGAGTTCCATAGTAACGGCTCCAGTCATCAGTATGCCAAACATCACAAACCTGCAAATCACAATGTTAGAGAAGAGATAACAAGTATGGCTATTTAAATCATGTTCTGCACATTGTTTAGAACCACGCATCTACTCATTATCGGTTCGGATATTCGATGAGGCCACAACACGTCGAAACATGAAACGATAATTCACATACGAATGTACGCAGGGACATGTGAATTAGCACAAAACCGTTAGATACAGCGGCGGGATTGGAAACAGTGGGCTTCGGACAGATACACTCACCCGAGGCACGCGATAAGAACCAGCAGTCGCGCTAAGGTACGTTTGAAACAGGCAATCAGTTCGGCAAAGTAAACGGCTGAGCTAGCAACCTCGCCCGACTTGCGAAGCGTCTCGTAGATGGCGAACAGAGTCAAATGTTCCCACAGTCCTAGGATGAGTACGACTCCGATGCAAAACTGAATGCGCATCAAGTCCTTCCAGTAGCGGATAATCAACACTAACCAGGTCACGATCAGAATGAGATAAAAGAAACTCATCACTCCGTTGAACTATAAATAAGAGGAAGAAAGGAGGAAAGAATACAAACAATAATGGCATAGGAAAACTAACAGTCCCTGTTATACAGAAACTCCTAGTTCAAGTTGTGTGAGATGTAGGTTTGTCTCCCTAGAAGGAGCTCCTTGCTATTTGTATTTTAGGCGGGACAGAGTTAGGTTGCTTTGAATACTACGACGTACTTAGAAAGATAGTAAAATATTTCATCGATGCAGGTGTCTCCGTAAAGGACCGGTTCAAATGTCTTTCCACTCAGTAACAATGTGTCGCTTGATACTTTAAACAACCTTCTTTGGTGCGTGAAATACTTTCTCTCCCTCTGGAATGGACATTTTGAGAGCCACGGAGTAAAAGCAAACTCAGTGCGCCGGCAATTTAGAGACTGTACCAATAAAAGGAGTGGCACCCTTCGTTGCGAAGCTGTTTATTGGCACATACGAAATAAGCGGCCACAAGACATTGGACACGAAAGTAAACATCTCATATGCACAGAGTTTTTGGAAAGCGAATATCCTCAAGCGCCCTGTTGAACTTTTCTGGGCGTTCACTGTGTATTGAACAATTGTGAACGAGCATTGCAAAGCAGTTCCGTACCTTCCGTATTAACATTCACCCTCCATCAGATGCGGGGACGGAGATTGGAAACCAGACCATAGACTACTCGCGTACTTCATCGATTGTACATGACGTTAAAAAGTATCTAACATCAGATGCGGGGACGGAGATTGGAAACCAGACCATAGACTACTCGCGTACTTCATCAATTGTACATGACGTTAAACAAGTATCTAACTGTCCACATCTGATTGTGGTCAAACGAGTCGACTTAAGACAGACAAGCCAAGTAGATCTTTTGATATGATATTCACAATTTACAACCAATACCGAAAGCCACCTGTAAGGGATTTTTCACTGACGTTGGACCATACGTTATTACAGGCTTTGTCAAGTGGACCTAAGTGGTCACTATATCAAATTAGCGATACTAAGCTTGAGGTGTAATTTGAAAGCACACATGATCAGCTGTCTGACTTATCACCAACTTCCGGGATCTTCGAAGGCGGGCCACTCAGAATAACGTCTGGCGAAGCGGTTACCGACCATAAGGATACACCCTGACCGAGTCTATCTGAGTAGAGCGTTTGTAGTCCGATGCATCTCCCTTCATCATAAAGATCCAAGCGCGGCCTTGTGAAAAAAATCTGTGGCTGCTGTTTAAATACGTCTGTGACTCCACTGTGTCTCCACTGGAGACCGCCTGACACTATCTTTCATTCTGATACGCCATAGAGGGTAAAACAACAGGCCAAGACGCAGCATAAGAGTGGGAAGCGCAACATAAATTGCACACGGAACAATCCGAGTGGGCATCGTGTTATCAACGTCAAAAGTGTAGGTAGGGATGCAAGCAGCGATTGCGGGAAGAGCGCTTTGCAACTTTAAACTGATTAGAAGTGGGTGATCGGTCTGAAGCCAGTTCGGTGGAAAAGCTTCCATAACAGACAACTGACGACTGAAAATACAGAAAGATGGAAACCGACTGGGAAACAAGCCACTGAAAAGGCTGTATCTTTGACTCAGCATCACCTGAAACAGCCAGAAATCAGTCACGATAATACCCTCAACAGCAATCTCCCGAATGACACAACACCCCGGTCATACGGTCTGCCAAAAGTTCATAAACTCGGTCTCTCACGGAGACATTCTCGAGATATCGAGTTATTCGTGTGTGTAATGAAACTGTAAGGGACGCCAAAAATTGTGCGGGCATGTACTCTAGGTTAACTCATCGACCAAGTCAATAAGAGCTCACTAGTGTGGCGGTACACAGCGTATCGGCAGTACCTGTGACGTTAAGTGTCTAACATGGCAGTCGATTAGTAAGCTAAATTGATGGGACATGGAACACTTTTATAAACGTGTTCTCCGACGGGAAGCAAGTCCGTCACTTTAGAAACCGGATGAAGCCTCTACTAAGGAAACTGACTCCCACCTGTAAATTCCAGCAGCTCCTTGCGTCTGACGGTGGGGCAACAAATGAAACAAGAACAATCAGGTTGTGCTATGACTGGGTTCGAATGGCATCTCCATTGCCAGCAAAGTTATGACTGGAACCGGGCAAAGATTACTGTTTGTAACTGCAGTCAGCTCATTCTTACCTGTGTTTGAATGCATGTGTTAAAAGAAGCAAGTTTGGCAACGTGCTCGCGAGCAAGACAAGACGGGAATCGATGAATCGGACCCAGGGGCAAGTATAGTTGGATAACCTGAGTGCGTGTATGTTTCGGAGTAGCATGATTGATTGTAGGCGTTGAGTGTGTGCAACGTCCATACTGCGATAGGTATGTTATCAAAACATAATAGAAACCGATGAAAAGGAGTGTTGAGGTGATTAATTCCACGTACGTAAACCCCTAGCTACGCACAGTGACGAATATATGAGTTTACATACCACAGCAGCCGCATACTTGTATATGTCATGGCTGTGCGCTAAGTAACAAAGTTTCAAGGTGCGATCAATATTTGACACCTGTTCGTAATCTGTGGCCTCAGAAACGAATATCAATCAAACTACACGTAAAGACATTTCGAGGATACTTTTCCCAACTGTTGTGTTCTGAGAAGTGCGCGGTGGCGGTTTTATTCCACGCCTGCAAAAGCAGGGCCTTCCGATCCAAAGAGCAAAAATACCCTTAAATATTCGAACAAGAGTGTCCTTGTGGAACTGCAGTCGTGTTCGTCCAGCCGTAGCATCCCTTCGGTGCCTAGCTGTCATGCCAACGGAAAGAGACACGAGGGTTAGGATACTGCCAAGTTGCCCAAGCCCAGACAGGGGCATTCGAGATGCTGAAGTCGGGTTCCAATCGCGAGCTTTCCGGTCCGTAGGCCGGCGCCATAACCACTGACCTATTCTCGACACCCTATGGAACAGCAGGCTGCAGCAAGTCCGCAACGAGATGTGTGCAAATACCACGTTATGATCAGTAGAGGAGCAGATTAAAATTTCCCGAAAAAGCATTGTGTTCCACCGCAAATTCATATAGCGAAAGGACTTCAGATTCGTGACCGCGACGTATGTGCACTGCTGATGAGTTCAGATAAGAGCGGAACTCGAGTCCAGTCTTTCCATCCTTTGGTGTGGGCTCACAAGGATGATTGCATCGGGACAGAAGGACTACTCAAGGGAGAATGATTTGGATGTGCATTCTACAAAAACAGCAACCATCTACAACAAAAGGTGGCAAACATATGCCGTCTAGAAATGTTGTCAGAGTTAAATTGAGATAAGCTATTCAAGGCGCCTGGTTGATGACAGTTCAACCGTCAGACACTAAGAGGAGCTGTACCAGTTCGGAGAAAAACACGATTGAACAACTGGCAACATGCTAGCTAAAAGTATATATATTGAGACACCGGAACATGAAGGAAACGTACCGGCAGGAAAGGAAACTCGACAGCAGACAGGAACGTTCCGTCCGGGTTGCGCATCTCCACTTCCACTTAATTTATGAAGGTGGACAGAAACAAAGCAATGAATGAGGCACGGCAATTAATATCAAACTGCATTTCAGAAAAATCATTGGAGTGATTGTTATCTAAGACAGAAATTCTAATGGTAAATGGGAACGAAAGTGAAAGGAATAATGAAACTATGGTAAATTCAGTATAACGACAGAAACCAGAAACTGTCATTTGTGTGCAGACCAGGGAGAGAGCTGCGAAATCGGGAAATAGTAGTGCTGTGGCCGTCACTCTGTTGACTAAGTTGAGAAAAGCAATCCAGAAAGAGGTCTTATGAATCTCAACAGCTAGGACTAGCGAGACCGTGGTGTGAATTTCGTCGCCATCTGTGTACAAGGTTACGTGATTGTATGGAAGTGGCATTTGAAGGTGGGTGACCTAAGCGAAATTTGACGACTGGTGTAACTGAAGAACAACAACTATTCGGTTGGGCAGCAGGAATTTTAAAAGTGGTGATATGGTTGGGTTATCGACTCGTCGTCAGGCAGGTAGTAGCCAAAATAAGCTGTCACTTGTTCACATTCCTTAACAGCCGTGACATGGGTCAAGGTCACACCAAGCACGGTCCACATGACAGCGCAAAAGCGGTTTTCGCTCGAAGTTTCTGCGATGTTTTACATCGGGTTATTCGACCCTTGACAAATGTCGACAGGTCGGATAGCTTCCTACAACAAATGTACGTTGTAATCAATCGCATTTTTATCATGAACTGACAAACCACAGCGCCGAAACTCTTCCGAACTCAATTCATGGACCACAAAGCAAAATGTGGACGCAGTAGAATAACATGGAGATGAATAGGGAAAACGTGGATGAGAGATTGGTACAAGCCGGTTGGTATTGGGGCAGAACGCCGTAGAACCGCATTTAGCTACTACCTTTCAGTTCACCATACCTCAGTAACGACCTCAGTTCAACGAGCATTAAAAGCGAGTATACAGACGGTGTCCGCCATCGGGTGTCGCATGAAATGACTGAGTGACTGACTGTTTGAGATATGACATAACTGAGTGGTAGCAGAACCAACTAGGTAATCGTCTGGAAGAAATAATAGCCAACGACTGCACTGATCAAGACAAAGTCATTGTAGTTCAAATTCAGTTCCCGCAAACCTTCACAAAGTGCACAGTAAAGCAAGAGTGGTACATTTTCCAGGGCTTAGTTGGAGAAAAACACAAACAGAAAACCTTGTGTTCGAATAGGTGAATTCGTTCATGAGCCTGACCAACTGGGCTATCCAGATTGCCTGAATGAATGTATGGAGGTGTAGGCACCTCGGATGATCGTGGT